CTATTGTCTCTGTTAGTAATCACAAATCATGATTAATGATTAATAACAAATCACGTCTCAGAAAACATATACCACTTTACAAAGTAGAAAGAAGTGATAACACTTAGTATCCGGACCCTTCTATGTATTATTTTATTAAACAAAAGATCAACATCATGTGAAATATACAAGTGAAACCGAGGGAAAATCAGACTCTAGGCTTTTAAACTATTTACAGACTACTCAATTATACAGATTTTTCATTCGGTAAATCATAAATTTAAAAGCCCAGCACTATGAAGCTAGTTTTCTATTATTCCAAGGATTTCTTGTAGATTAAAATCTGGGAATCATAAGTTGCTTTTTCTTGAGCGTATAGATCTTCGAATGGCTTTGAAATAGGAAGTAATATAATTAATAAATTATAACAAGTAGAAAGTAGATACTTTATAACATAAAGTTACCTTCTTATCTTCAGGACTCATTGATCTCCATCTTTCAACTAATTCTTGTGTTTGTTCGATCATTGTCTTAGATTCATCAAAATTTTTATTGGCCGTAATAAAATGTAAGAATGGAGTTTTCGGCCGCTTTGGTTTTCTAGAATCCTTCAAAAGCTTTACATGTTTACCCTTCAATTTTGCCAACTTGCGATGTTCATTTACTCTAGCAATTTCTTTTGAAGTCAAAGATTCTTTCCAGGTTTTAAAATCATCTTCAAATTTAGATTTAGCTTTTCTATATTTTTCTAAATATGTCTATAATTGAATTATATAAGATAACGAATAAATCAAACGGATGAATATATTATGTAAATGGAATATATACTTCTTTCTCATCATGAGGTAAAGATCTCCATCTTTCACCAGCTATTTTACCAATCTCCGTAACTTTTAACGTAGGATTATCGGGCTTGAATTGGTTATAAAAATCAGCGAACCAAATAGTGTACGGGGTACCTGGATTTCTAGGACTTTCGGGAACTTTTGAAAGTTATACATGAGTTAACTAAAACACCAAATGAAACGAAATGAAAATGCACATTTATAGAAAGCTTAAAATAATACTTGGCCCCTCGTCTTTGAGCTTAACAACCTTAGTTTTGGTTCGGGTTTTAGCAGTAGATTTTTTAGTTCCAGCACTTTTTTGTTTAGTTGTTCGTGGTTTAGTAGTTGTAGACTTAGGAGCTTTGGTTCTTGTAGAATTTTTTGCAGTAGCATATTGTCGTAAGAAAACAGCACTAATGACGTGACCAGAATTTAACGTTTCTAATAAGCGCGTATAGTTGTTAGGCGAAACTACTTTACGTAAAGACTAAAGACGAAACCTAAAACCAGCCAAAGACGGTAAACGAAAGCCCTGACGAATTGACGAAAGAGATATAGTTGGTAGACGAACAAATTTTTCCATGTTTTCGGAATAAAAGACAAGTAAACTTAAAGTAAACATCAATTCAAGATACACGAAATTTACACCAAGTACCCTGACCATGCAAAGATCAAGTGTAACATAAAATTCACGCCAATAAACTTTAATTTTTTACGTAATTAGAACTACTAAACTCTATTACATTTTAACAAAAAAAATCACTTTCCCACAAAATTTTGGTATGTATTAACTCCTTTTTTTCCTTAACTCTGACCCTAACAACAATGTCGTTCTACTTTGATTACAATTGCCAGGATACAATCGTTATTTAACACAGATCACATGATAGTCAATCAACTTACGTATCGTTAAATAAAAACCAAAACAGTAAAGATTTTTTTGATATAAGTTACGGTAAACTCCGAAATACATCTTTCAAAATATAACTATAAAATGATTCACATTATAGTACAATTATCTAAGAAATAGGGTGTTTTTTTTTTTTTTTTTAAGCGAGATCTTTTCCTCAATTCCTTTATTATTTATTTATTATGCAATTAGTTACATTTGTTGTTTACATAATTTTTTTGGGGAAGTGGAGATCGAGCTACTTTGCTCCAGACCTAAATCTTAGCTAGATAGGTCCAAAACCTCGAGTCTATGACTATATAAGAAATAGTTTAATAGAAGATTAAGATGTCATTCTAAAATCACAAAAGTAGTTTAGCACAAAAATTTTTTTTTATTGTGTCAAGATCGAAAAATAAAAAAAAAAAGAATCTTTATGAATCCCGAAGCAATGATTTAAAAGTGTTGTGAAAGATACTTAAATATCTAAATTACACGAATGAGCAGTACTCTATAAAGGGGATAAAACGATTTAATCGATATTATAAAGTATATTTTATAACTTATCATGTGTTTACAAACTAAGTTGAACAGATAAATAATGTAAAAGACGAATCTGAGTCATGAACTTATAAATGATCTCTTAAAAATGACATAAATAAATGAAATTCAGGAGAGCAAAGATAAAAAAAAAATTAATAGATATTCACTGACAAAATCGATCGAAATTTAGGCAATTCATAGTTTTCCTTTCTATGCAATTCACCATTTTCATCATAATATGAATTTTGCAAAGTTGAAAACATTTGTCTCAATTTCGGATATTTCACTTCACAGAATACTTTCCGAAAAATTAATACATACAGACCGAAATATAACAAGTTCTATTCAAATAGCGATATGGCAAAATGATATAACTATCATCACATACTGATAAGCTACCTATCTTACTTCATAAAAGGTTTAAAAGGATTCATTTGACATCATTGTACAGTACAAAACAAAATTTCGGGCTTGTTTAGTGTACTTACTCAGCTTCTCCAGTTTTACACATAAGATGAAAGACGAAACTAATCTCGTATGCGAAATTCGTTTTAATCTAACAACTATATAAGCGCTTTAAATCTATTAAAGCTGATTAATTATCTCTTATTCTGCTTGTTTTTTTTTCTTTAATACGAATAATCAGATGTCACTCAGTTTCTAATCAAAAAACTTTTCTAAATTTATTGTTAAAACAGTATTTTGTCACAGTTAAACGCTCTAAAATTTTATAATGCTTTAGACAGAATAAATTGATGCATGATAAATTCGATATATTACAAACCTCACATATTTATTACCTTATAACCCATTTTTTGACTTGTTAATGATTAAACACGAACAACTTAATATTAAAGAATCAATTTAATCAATAAAATTAAAACTCAAAAAAATATGTGTGATGAGATTTATTAAACTACTTACGTTATTTAAGTAATACTAAATCAAACCAGTGGTGCCCAACACCATATATACAAATCACTCTCGTTATAATATAATGAAAATAAATTCAAAACAAGTCTATGTAAAAATCCTCTTGATATAATGAATTTACTAATAACCTCTCGATAAAATGAAATTTTTAAAAATTTTTACTATGGAACAGACCACTTCACTATAACGAGTTTGACTTGTATACAATAATGCTAGAGAAATTGTGTAAGTTGGAGATTATGATTTAGATTAAGAAATAGATAGTTTGACATTTTTTATTTAAAGCATAAAATAGATAATTTGAAGATATAGCAACTATGACGTTAAATATTACCGTTTTTTTTTAATCAAGATAACATTAATGTAAAGGAAAAAATTTTTTAATTTAACCAATCAAATTGCGCATCACATGATTGCCTTATTCCCACGTGATTAAGTTTTATAGCTGTTACACACAAATCATAAATTTCAATATAAACAGACACGTAAAAATCGCGAATGAATTTACACTTTCACTCCCACGAAAATTCTCCGTATCACGATATCGGCGGTACATTGATTAAAATAATAAACAATACCATGCAACTCGAACAACAATTTGATCAAAGAGAATGGTTGGCATTAGATAAAAAATTGTTTATGTTTAAAACTGTTAGATAAATATCAATGCTTTCAATGCCATTCCATTTTCAATAAATTCATAGGACTACAAGTGAGTTGCAAGAATATCTGCTTTATTTCGAACAAAGAGAGAAAGACGTTAGAGCATATGAAGATTATATTAGTTACTCCCCTAGATATTACGGTTAGAAATTGCATTATTCGTTTCGTTAAGACTCGTTTAAATTGATTTTTTTTTTATAATTTCATTAATTATCATATTTCTTATTAATAGACGATTTACATGAATATAGGTAATAATTAACTTAATTCACTCTCTATTACAAATTATTAACTCTCCTGTCTGTTTATTTTCATAAGACATGTTACTCTTCCAAAACAACTTGTTCAATATGTTCCTCTCGATCGACTCATGTCGGAAGAGGAATGGCGAAGTCTTGGTGTGAAACAATCTCCTGGGTGGGAACACTACATGATTCATGGTATTATCTAACTTCGTTTTTATTCCGTAATTAATTCTTATTAGGATATAAATTTCTCTTATAAACTATTTATTATTACTTTTTTTTAAATATATTAGCACCCGAGCCCCACATCTTACTTTTTAAACGGGAAAGAGATTATCAACTTAAGTATGGTATACCACAACCAGAGGAGGAATTAGTTGAGCAGGATGAAAATGTGCAGTATGATCAGAATGCCCAGTATCAACAGAATGTGCAATATCAGCATCATCAGAATGTGCAGTATCATCATCAAAATGTGCAGTATCATCATCATCAGAATGTGCAGTACCATCATAATCATCAGAATGTGCAATATCAACAGAATATGCAGTATCAACAGAATGTGCCATATGATCCAAATGCGCAGTATGTTCAGTAATTAAAAATAAAGTATAATAATAGAAAATTCTATAGATAAATAAAATTATATTTTGAAATAAATAATTTTAAAGTTATCGTTATGTAACGGTAATTTTATCGCAGAAAGTTGTGTCATCACGTGAATTAAGTGATAAGATTGTGTAACATAAAATCACATTTTAGAAAAAACCCCTCGTGAAATTATTTTAGTATATAATATGCTCTTCGATATCCTTTTTTGATTTTTACGTTGCCGGTACTTCCAGATTCGAATTAGATTAGCAATTTTTTTTTATTATAGAAAGTTATAAAAAAATTTTTTACACGTGTTCGTGTATCCAATTGAAATTGGATATGGTAAACGCAGATTTTATTATATTAAATATATAGCAAAAATATGTAGAAGTATAGTACTGTTGAACTTCCCAAAATCGATCCTCTCAAAATCGATAACCTGTCAAATCTGATAAAAAATTAGTCTACCAAGTCCGTTTCCGTTATATAAATCTAATAGTTTATAATGATTTCAAATCTGATAACCTCTCAATACCGATACAAAATCTGTCCACCATGCGTACCGGGTTTGGGAGGTTCAACAGTACTTTATTTTGAAAATTTCTAATTTTACACTGTGTCAAACAACTTGTATAAAAAAAAAAAATTCAATGCTGATTAAGATTAGAGTAAAGGTGAATTTGAGATGAAGGCGAGAGTAGTTTATACCAAAATTTCACAGTGAATTTTTTTTTATTAATATTCGAAAGGTGGTTTCATAAACAAAATCTTGGGTTATAAATGATTTTTTAAAGAAAGCAATAATTTTGAGTTACACCTGATCGTGCAATTTGATTGGCTTTCTATATTACCCCGTGTATACAAATAGCGTTAAATAGAATTTATTTTTATCTTAGGTGATTTTTTTATTTACTTTTTTAGTTAGCATGGTTATGATTAGAGAGAGATATTATATATAAAAGTATACAATGAGTAAAAAAACTATTTTATATTATAAATAAATTTATTTTTATCTTTATTTCATAGTACTAGAAATTATTAATTATTTTCTTGTTATATTATTATATATATTAATTAAAAATCTTTTAATTAAATAAACTTTTTAAAAATATTATATTTATAACAACGACGTTACATAACATCTATATATTCTGAATTGGAGTTAGATTAGGGTTAGAGTGCAGCTTTAAAATAAATAGATGTTTTTATATAATATAATATATATTAGATATAAGGCCGATTTCAGTTCTTATTTTTACTTTGAGTACCCGATCCCGTTTACTTAGTATGTTTTTGAGATATAATATAAGGTGTTATATAATCCGGCATTATAAATATGGTGCTGGAAGCCTATACTCGATGGTTACACAAAGTATTTCAATTTTTTAAATGGCTATAACTTTTCTTCTAAGAGGTTTTAAAAAAATCTGACCGGTAACTTTATAGGGATATATTAACTCTACATATGTGCCAAAAATCTTTTCAAAATCTCATCACTGTAAAGAGTTGATG